GGTTTTTTTTACATAGTCAAATATTATATACACACTGCGTTCGGAACGACTCGCGTATTTGGTCCGCGCGGTCGATCTGGCATCGGCTGCTTAGAGCGCAACTCTTTCCAGAGCACTCCGCCGCGAAAGGGTTAACAGTTCTCGAAATAAAGAATTGTACAAGAAAGAAAGAAGAGAAATACTCTATGTTCCTACAGAGCATTAAAGCGTCTTATTTATACACTTTTTCAGGATTGCCGTACACAGCATTATAAAGTAAAAAATTAGCTTTAAAAGAGATGATTTCGAAGATATTTCCTTTTCTCAAAAGCCTCGTATATCATTCTCATATCTCAAAAACCTCAAATATCAAATTTTCTTTCGATTATTACGCGGAAAAAAAACTCAGTTCATGTAACTGAATTTCGGTCATGACAATCGAAATTTTCTATTTTCCGGGGACCAGATGAAAACTCGGTTGTAGAAACAGAAAAATTCCTATAGAACGCTTCCGCTGCTCGGACCAATTGTACTCGGTTATTTTGACCGAATTATATTGCTACTTGATAAAAATATTATTTTTCTTCTGGTAGGACACGAAGTTGAAACTTCTTGATTCCGAGACTGTCGCCTGAAGGACCACTAGCGCTGTTGGTGTATCTTATCCAACGGCAGCACATATCGCTTCGCATTCTCGGTTTAGATAACCGAATAGTTTAATGCGTTTGGAACGGAAAATTTCGGTTCCTGAAACCGAAAGTACTCGTTGATGTAAACAGTCCTTCGGTTCGATGAAAAAATGCTACACGTTACTGTAACCAAAGCTCAATTAACAGAATATTTTCGTTTGACATAATCGAGTTAGTGTTTTCCGTGCAGGCATCGAGCAGCGGCGGCCGTCACGAGGCTCATCGCGACTCGTTCAACCTGCAATATCAACCCGTTGATCCCGGCCGCGATCTCAGCTTGCGTCATCGCGACGATCGCTTTTTCGCTCTCTCGCTCTCGCCGCAACACGTGTCGTTATACCGACGAGAGAGACAAATAAATACTCCGAAAAAATAACTCTGTTAATGGGGAGGAAACAGGATTATAGATGCGAAATAATAAATAATAAAAGATATAAAGAAATAAAAAAGGAAGGAGGTGGTCTAATTTATTTAAGGAAGGAAGAATTGGGTAATTAAAGTTGGGATTAGAGCTTTGGTTAAATTAAGGTGTGAGAATTTAGAGAAAGTAAATAGATATTGGTTAATGCAACAGTAATAAAATGCATGTATTTTGCGGTAACGGACAAGATTGTATAAGATTATATATATTATATTGATATTTTATATAGATATTATATAGATATATGTTATTATATAGATATATGTATTATATAGATATGTGTACAATGACTAAAGGATGGTTCGATAAGTTGGGAGAGGACGGAGAGGGAAAATGGGAAAAGATTTGAAATGATGAACTTAATGATGTAAAGGAAAATATATTGAGAAAGCTCTGGAAGGAGAGGGAAATGAGGATAAGGAGGATTAAGGGCGAGAAAATATTAAGTGTACATAATGAATAATTAATAAAATGAATAATCAATGTTTTAAGCGGTTAAAAAATTAATTTTAAAATCAATTGATTTTTCCGCTCTTTTGCGGTTATGTAGTGTTGACATACAGCAATTAAAAATGACATTTAGCATGGGGAAAGGCCCAGCATAACCTTCAAAAATATTCAGTTCAGTAGAGTCAAACATGGCGACAGATAAGATACATATCCGACACTGTATTCTTTATGAATTCCAACAAGGAAAAATTGCTGCAAGAACATGCGAATCGATGCGACATGCGAATTTGTTCCTTTCTCAGCAAAGTAAGTGTTGTGTCGTACGGTATGTGCGCATTTTGCGGTTTAAGCGATTTAAAAGCGGTGATTTCCGTCTGATCGACAAACAACGTCCTGGAAGATGCACCCTCGAAAATGCGACAACGATGATTTGAAACAATTGCTCGCTAAGAATTCGACACAAACGCAAAAGGAGCTTGCAAAGCAGTTGGAAGTAACGCAGCAAACCGTTTTCAAACGCCTACATGAGATGGGTAAGATCAAAAAAGAAGGAAAATGGTTTCCGCATGAATTTACCGAAGCCAATAAAAATTAACGAGTGGCAGCGTGTCTTTCTCTTCTCAATAAGCAGCGTCGAAAGTCTTTTTTGTGAAAAATCGTTACGGGCGATAAGAAATAGATATTCGATGATAATCCGAAACGCAGAAAATCATAGGTGAATTCCGGCGAACCATCAACATCGGTCACAAAGTCCAATTGTTTCGGAAAGAAGGTTCTGCTCTGCATTTGGTGGAATATCAAGGGCGTGCTCTATTATGAGCTCTTGGAACCGGGTAAAACAGTTATTACGGACTGCTACCAAGGCCAATTAATCCGCTTGAGTCAAGAATTGGAATAGAAACGCCCGTATACTGGCAAAGGAGAACGCCCTATGAAATTGTTGCATGACAACGCCAGACCACACATAGCTTCCAAGGCAAAAAACACCATAATGAATCTTGTATGGGACGTCTTGCAGCATCCGGTGTATTTACCAGACATTGCTCCATTCGATTATTACTTATTCCGGTCGATGCAACACGCCTTGTCCGATACTCACTTCCAATCAATGGATGAGATCCGAAAATGGTTTGACAACTTTATCCTGTCTAAAGACACAGCATTTTTCCGAGATGGAATTCATCAGCTGCCTGAAAGATAGTTTAAAGTTATAGAAAGCAACGGCGAACATTTTGATGGAAAAATTTGTTTTATTTTCTTTTAAAATAAATTTCGAATTTAGCTGAAAATTTTAGATTATGTATTTGTACACCTAATAAATAGAATAAAAATAGAATAGTTGGGTGGGGATGGGAGACTAGGAGAAGATAAATGTTATGAAATGGAAATGTTAAAAGAAGCTGAATATATTACGTATTTATGTATTAAGTACTATATAAAAGGATGGGAAATATTATAAAATTGATAGATGTGTAAGGTTATAGGTAATATAGTCTGTGAGTGCTGCGATATTTCTTGTGATATATATTGTTATATTAGTGTAACACCGCGATATTAGCATAAGTACGAGGTCTGTTCAAAAAGTATCGCGAATTTTGAATTTCCGCGGGTTACGTATATTCGATTTTCGATTTTTTTGTGGCGTTATGTTGGTACTCATGTCCCTCACTTATGCCGACAAGTTCGGCCATTTTGAATATTCGGTTTATCTTTGACAGCTGTTTTGCTTGGACGTGTTTTGGCTCGTCTTCGATTTTTGCCTATTCCAAAAAATGGATCAAAGAATCTAACAAAATTAAGTGCGCGGACGCATTCCGAATGTTGACTGTGGCATATGGTGAAGCTACCTTGGACCGAAGCAACGTTTATCGGTGGTACAAAATGTTCTCAGAGGGCCGAGAAGATGTGAACGACGAAGAGCGTGCCGGACGCCCGAGCACGTCAACAACAGACGAAAACATTGATGAAGTGAAGAAAATAGTATTGGCCAATCGTCGAATCACCGTTAGAGAAGTTGCTGAGGACCTAAACATATCGATTGGCTCGTGCCATTCGATTTTTACTAATGATTTGGGCATGAGACGGGTCGCCGCGAAATTCGTACCAACGCCCCTGCTCACGTTGCTTTTGCGCGAATTTTTGGCCAAAAACAACACACTAATGATGCCGCAGCCACCGTATTCCCCAGACCTGGCCCGAAACTGAAAAAGCACATGAAAGGACGACGCTACGCTACGATTGAGGAGATAAAGACGGCATCGAAGGAGGAGCTGAACAAGATCACAAAAATGATTTTTTGAAGTGCTTCGAGGATTGAAAAAAACGTTGGCATAAATGTATAATATCTGATGGGGATTACTTTGAAGGAGACAAAATAGATATTCATGAATAGATAAATAATTTTTGAAAAAACATAAAATTCGCGATACTTTTTGAACAGACCTCGTATATTTAGATAAGAAGCTGAATTTTGAAGGTTTATATTTAATTGAATATATTTAATTGAATGGGGTAGACAGATGAGTATGGATAGGGAAAGTTTTGTAAACGAAGTGCTCTTGGCAAAACGGCTGAAGTAATAAATATCTATTTAATAACTCCGTTAATGCAACTTAATGCAACTTAAATATCTATTTAATAACTCCGTTAATGAAGTTTTCGTTACCTGGCAACCAGATTTTTTGTTACGGAGTTTTCATCCAATCTTCCCTATTCAGTCGCAGAAACTTCGAAGAGCCCTTTTCCGTGTAGAGAGAGAGAGAGAGAGAGAGAGAGAGAGAGAGACAACAGCGTTTATTACATCTTAAGGCAAGCCCTCTAAGGACAAGCAAGATACATAGTAAAGTCGAAAAAAAATTACAATACATTTTGCTAATTCTAAATCACATAAACAAAAATAATTATGCAAGAGCAAAACAAAACCAAAATGAATGAAAAGCCCGCTGTAGAGCTTGGGTTAAAAAATAACTTTAAGTCATATATGTTTGAGGAAAAAAAGAATTGAGCTGTAAATTTGTTAATTTAAACACTCAAATCTAAACTAAACCTAAATCCTGAACTAAGTCCATGACCGAAACCAAATTAAACTCAGATTGACCCTTAAATTCTTATCCGTATGAAAGGAGATAAATAAAAATAAATGTAAAATTTTTACAGATTTCTATAAAATTTTAAAAGTTCCCATACTAAATGTCGTTCCCAAAAAAATAGAAAGGTACCGACACAAAAATTTTATTAGGAAGCGGAAAGAGGGATGGAGGGAGAGAGGGAGGGAGAGAGAGAGAGAGAGAGAGGCAAAGGGTAGTGAAGAACGCGACGGCAACAGGGTGTCGCAAGGCGCGCGCGCTTTGTTCACGGAAGTTCGCAGAGCTTCGGGAGTCGCCGCGCATATAAATAGAAACCCACCACGCGTGCTGCGTCGCGGATATATCGATATAGCGCGGTTCCACAGCGCACCGCCGGCACTGCGTTGTTCTTGACTGAATGCAGAAACTGTCATCGCGAGGCCGTCCAGGCTGATTGGATTAGTCGTCGCACGACGAAAAGAGAGACGCACCGAGGAAGAGAGAAAGAGAGAGAGAGAGAGAGACGATCATCGGCGGACGGTCGGCGACGTCGTCCGCGAGCGAGCGGGACGCGCGTCGGATCCGCTCCAGAAGTAGGACTCACGAAAGTGGCGGGAAGACCTCGAGGACGATGAGTGTCAGGAGACGTCAATGACGACGACGTCGACGACTCGGACAGCCTCCAACACAGCCTCATCGACGTGTTGATGGGTACGGAACTGTGGGGAGAATTCGCGCGCGACAAAGCTGCGCCGCTGGACAACGTACAGGAGCGCTGTGTGATATCTCCTTGACGTCATCGGATCATCCGCGAGCGTCATTGTTCGCCTTGGCGAACATCCGCGCGGGACCTGACCGTCAGTCCCTTCGCCGTCGTACCCACTCTTGTCGTCGCTTCACCGTTCACCGTGCTTCGAAGAGGCGAGATCGAGATCCGCCGTCGAACGTCACGAAACGTCTTCGAAGTCAATTGCCGGATCTAAAGGCGCGCGCGAGCGCGAATTATCGGGGAGGATATCTCGTTATCTACTCCGCCGCAGCTGCATCACGAACACGTGTATGTGTTTCGCACGCGTTATCGAATCGATAGTTATCACTCAGTGTGCGACCGGTGGAAGACGAAGAGAGAGAGAGAGTGTGTGTTTCAAGCGCAACGGAATCCTATAAGTGCGTAATATTATTTAATATTAAATAATATTCTGGGCATATTCTTAGAATACTAGACGTTATATTCTATTAATATTCTAATAATATTATTTAATACTAAGTGATACTTCTGGAATATTAATAGATGGTTATAAGTCCATCTCTAATATTAAAAAAATAATATTATTTAATATTATCGTAATGCTATATATTTTTAAATATTCTTTATGTGTATATATATTGTTTTATTATATAAATAATGTCGAAATAATTTTGTGTAGAAATAGGTTTTATATTTTAAAAAATTACTAAAATAAAATATATTTTTTTTTTATTTACATATTTTTCTAGGTTGTTATTCTTTTTAATATTTTAAGAATAGTTTTATAATATGCCAAGAATATTATGTGAAGTGGACATATAACATCTATAGAATACTCTTACAATATTAAAAAATAATACATAACATTCTTAAAATATTATTTCAATATTTGATAATGTTCATATAATATTTTAGGAACCATCACGCGCTTGCAGGGAATATATTCGCGTAAAGTTCTTCCTCGTCAGGGAAGTCCACGATCGCACCGATTGCTTCCGCTGACTTCAACGTAGTTCAGGGAGCTCGACGCAACGCTCGAGGCGGACGCGCAGAATCGTCCACACAACGAACAGAAGCGAGCAGTATACGTCTGTGTGTGTGTGTGTATGTGTGTGTAAAAACCATGAAACGTCATTGACATGACGACGAAAGGCGAAAATAACGAGAAAGACCGATAGAGACCGTCGAAGTTGGAAACAAAGGAATTTGGTCATCACGAGCGCGCGAGATTGGTCGGACACGCAGCTTCGCTCGATGCGCCGCAGCGCACGTGAGTCACCTCACACGTGCGCGCGCGTGAAAAACGTTGTAAGCGCGGCGATCCGCCACACGATTCGCGCTCCCCTCCCTCCCGTCCCTCCGCTAATAGTATCAGCTGAAGTTAACTGCGCTGATCGAAAACTTGGCTGCTATTACTCCGGACGAGTTCATTCCGTAGAACTTAAATTTACGGTTTCGTTCGCGCTATTGTCACGCTCGAGAAGAAAACTCGCGTTTGGGGAAACGCCTGGTAAACAGCTGGAGTCATATATTAAGAGAAAGACAGAGAGAAGACAGAGAGAATCATACTCGAGGACATCGTTTTTGTGCAACTAGAATTTTGCAGTGTGTCGCCAATAGGTGAAGAATCCGAAAGAGAGATTTGATATTCTCAAATAAATAAAGGAAATTCAACGAAGATCAATTTCTGAAAAGAAAAAAAAAATATATATAAGAATATCGGAGAACCAACTTATGAAACAAGAAGAAATGAACTTTTCCTCAGTCCGTCGAGAGAGAGAGAGAGAGAGAGAGATAAAGAGAGTCACACTCGAGGACGTCATCTGCGTGCAATGAATTCCGCGTAGTGACGCCAGTGACGAAAATTCGAAGACTTCGAGGACTTTATATCTTCAACTGAAGGAAATTTAAAACGAAGAACAATTTTTCCGAAAAGGGGAATAGAATATCGGAGTCGGTTTAACACAATGAGAAATTTCACTTTTCCTTAATCACCAGAGAAAAAGAGAGAGGGAGAGAAACGCGGAATTGGAGAAGATTTCTAAAAGTAAAAGACAGCGGATATAAAGCGTCGAGAATCGGCGGAAATCGAGAGTGCGCGCGCGGAGAAAATCACGGCGGCGCCGAGGTCATCCTCACGGGGTACGCTCTTTCTCTCTCCTCGATCCTCGATCGAGGGCTCGTTCTCTCCCACCATTCTTGGGCCGCCGTTCCGGAGTTGCCGGGTGCCGGCGCGACGCGCGCTGCGCTCGGCGGCAGTGCGCTGAGCGAGAGTGCCGACGACGACGCGAGCGCGCAGCCAGTACGCGGTGGCCGACATGGCAGCGGACTACGACGAAAGCGATCGTCGTCGTGCGGTGTGATCGGTGTGGGCCGGAAGAGAGGAGGAGGAGGAGGAGGCGACGGCGCAGGGATCGAGAGTGACAGACAGTGAGAAAAATCGCGCGCGGGAAGGCACGATCCGTCGCCGACGTCGTCGTACACACTACACAGAGAGAGAGAGAGATCCAGGCGTTGCTCTCTGTTGTGCGAGGGAAGAGAGAGAGAGAGCACGCCGAAGTCGCGTCGAGCGCGCCGCGTCGCGCTCGAAAATAGAACGTGCTTGCGAGATTGCAAGAAGAAACGAACGACGCACGCACGCACGTACGTACGCACGAGTGCAGAGAGAGAGGAGGAGAGTGCGCAGCGAGAAAGAGAGAGAGAGAGAAGTGACTGACGGTTTAAGGCGGCTCGTAGAATGTCGCGCGTGTCGCTCAACAAGTCGCAGTACAGCCAGTACGGCTCGCGCCGCGTCCGCAAGATCAGTTCGGTACGGTTTGTATGGAGTGCGGGAGAGAGAGAGAGAGAGAGAAAGAGGGAGACCGTTTCGCCGTTTGGCTGTGTTGGTGCCGCGATTCCGCCCGATTAAACCCGGTCCCATCTCCCTCTTTCCTTTCTTTCCTTTTTTCTTTCTCCTTTCTTTTTTTTTCCTTCTAGCCGTTTTCCTTACCTTGTCTCGCAACCGAGGAGCAATGATCTCGTTTCCTGCGTGTGCATCTCCGAAGCAGCGACGATTTTCGAGGGACGAAACGGAAGCCCGCGGTACGGGATAAGCTCGGGATAGTTTCTGTCGGAGACTCATCGTCATTATCACGAGGAAGAATCGTCTCATAGAAGAGAACGTCGACGACGTAGAGACGTCTCGCGGCAACGGCAGAAAAATTATCGATTTCTCGCACGATCTGAGCGCACTGCTCGTACCGGTAATTCGCGCGCGCGGCTGGGACATCACAATGGATCGGACCTTGTCGGGGAAGGGAGAGGGGAGGACTCCGCGAACTGGTCGCGCTTTTGTATCGCTGGCCATCGCTGGCACGCGTACCGATATACGCGTATAACTTCGCGAAGGAAACACGTAACTCAGCCTTGACAGTCGAAGAAGCGGCTCGATTGACGTTCGTTCGTGTGTTTCGCGCGTGTTTCTCACCTCTTTGCAACAATGGCGCGAATTCATACTTTTATGCGTGTGTACTCTCGGCGATGCGATGTTGAAAACAACGCGAGCGCGTCTCGTTCTCTGGCTGGCCGCGCGGCTGAGCTTCGCGCCTGCGCCGTCGCGGGATGGCACGGTCGCGTTGAATGACAACGGCGATCAGCTGATCAGCTGCTGTGACCTTCCGCTCGTAGTCGCACGATAGTCGCGCGCGCGCGCTGCATTTAAATTCGTCTTCGCGGCCGAGGTCGTTGATCCAAATTCGTCGTAATGACACCGTTTAGCGGCCGCGAGCTCCTCCTCGCGACACTGGAGAAGCGGAGAGGTGCGATCCGCCGATCGATCCCGTGAAGAATCCCACTTCCAGAGAGAATACAAATTTGGTCATTCTTTGTCGTTGACGGTATTCTTTCTTGAACTTCAGCTGAAAACTCTTCAACTGTTGTTTCCATTTTTTTTTTTTAAGGTGAGCTGAAAGGACGGGAAACTGGGACATTTCCGCGATCGGTTCATTTTTCAGGTAACTGGTTCGTGGCAATACCGTTAGAGAAGTGTGATAGTTGGTGATAAATAAAGCAGGAAAATTAATATAATAAGGAAAACGTGAGAAGGCTCGATGAATCTGTGCAAAATATAACCATGATTTGTGATATACAACTTTGACGCTATAGAGAGAACGTACAAATCAAACTCATATATCGTTTGGAAACTCATAAACAAATCGTTTTTTACGCTTGTAATATCTTTCGCTGGAACCGCCCATATCGGGTATATGTTGCGAATATATCGTATGTATCGATATATATGCGATAGACGCATCGAATGCGTGTTAATAGAGGAATTATCATGACGTTGGATTTTTCCGTGTTTGTTGTTTTTTCGCATTTCTACGTACTGACTATAGATCTTCAACATTACTTAGCCATTCTGTTATTTAAAAAATGCCTAAAGCAAAAGACACAAAAGAAAATATAGTGCGTACAATATTGTTGAATCTTTGCAGGTCAGCTGTCATATACTCCAAACGTTATCAGAAATCGTGTACCTTACACATCAATTTCTGAAAAACTAAATGATCAATGATCTTGTCATTTTTTTTGATAATATTCTTGTAAATTTTTTTTCACTATCTTTTTACATTAAAAACACATAAGAATATTTTGTTTATTAGAATGAAAAACATGATATCACAAGCCATTTTCTTTCGTATCTGTGATATAAATGATGACTAACTCTGGTTTCAATTATCTCAGTTTCGGTATAATCTCTTTCTAATTTTTCATGACAGTGTTTCGATTAATATGCTGTAAAAATTCGAATAGTTCTTGAGATAATTAATCGATGGATAAGTTGTCTTAAAGCTCGAGATTTCCAGTTTTAATTACAATGTTTCGCATTACGACGTCGAAAACGATACATCTCACATGATTTATTTTTGCAATATGTGTCGAAATATAAATTAGTTTTTTAATAGGCTCCAAGGTTAAAGCAATATTTTTCGCGACATGGCAAGTTGGAATCGTCTGCTGTTAATTTAATAATCGGATAATTAGGAAATTATATGTAAAAGAACCTAGGATTTAGAGTGGAAAGTTGTACTCATCGTGTGCTTTTGCTGGATAATAATACAATATATGCGTCATTATACGCTTGGTTCCTGTGGTGTGCAAGTGGAACGGGTGAAACTGAATAGAAAAGTCCCATACTATTTTGCAAATAACACGCAAATTGTTGAGTTATTAATTAAAGATGCCTCTATAAATGACCATTTTCAATCATTGATAACTCGAAATTTTGCGTATTATTTGTAAAATGGTATAGGACTTTTCTGCAAAGTTTCAGTCGTTCTACTTACACATCATGGGAACCGAGATTCATTCGGAACACTTTGTATATCTTTCCACAAAAATTAAATTATATCTCGCTACAACAAAAATTAAATTATATCTCGCTAGGCTCTTAAAGGTCCATTATTCTCCATAGTTAGTCACTTATAGATACGATATGTAAATACAGATTTGTCGTTTTTTTTAGCTTCTCTGACGTGTTCTACATGGCTACAGTGAACTAATTGGAAGCCTCGAGTCTCGAGATAACCTCTTATATTTGGGGTAGTTTCACTTCAGTCGTCGCCCCCGATGAATTAATATCATAAAATAATGTCGTAAAAAGATTCCACGAACAACGCGTTATTTCGTTAAGGTTACTTACTATTAGTCGAAACAATCGAGACATGCTTATCTCCTCTAACTGTTGAAATACCAGCATTGCACTATCGTTTACTCTCATTGGTCCATGTAGCTCGATACATTCGTAATGAAGCCGGTAATATCCGCGGGATGCGGTCGATTAATCACGTGGACACGGGGAGTTCGATATCTGCCCTTCTCGATTATCATCGTGTTATTAATATCTTGATATTAATAAGCTGCTTTTCCTCGTCAAGACTCTACACGTTATGTTCGATCGTGTCGGAGCAAACGAGAGATAATTTTAGCGTATTCGATATATCGCCGTCTCAGACGTAAAATTACTTTCCTAAATTACATTTTCCATTAAGATTTTCTTTCGGCAGAATATTAATAACGAGATTGAAAGAGTATAGAAAATGACATCTGTAGAAATATCTGGAGAAGTCAAGGTAGATATTCTCGAAATTTCTTCGAGCGAAATTTCACTCGAAGAGCAGAATAACAGCGAATTCCACTACAACTCGTGAAGAATGAATTTTCCTCACTCTGAATTGTCGAATGAATATTTCCACTCGAAACTAAAGAGTGAATCTCTGATCTATTCCACCGTGACGAGAACGAATTCGCTCTAATTGATTGAAACATTCCTTCATACGGAATCACACTCGGGCGAAACATTCACTTTTGCTGCGGTCTCGCTGTTTTCACTGTCGCTTTGAGCGAAATATCCTTCATTTTTTGACATTTTCCACTATCATTTCGAGTGAGATCCCACTCCGAGGGATCGAGAGAGTGGAAGAATCACCGATTAATTTCCGACATGTATCATTCGCCTCGTGTAATGAGCCACATAATTGCTGGCGATAAATCTGAGCGTTCATCCTCGCGGGAAACGCGGCCCGCATTGAAAACGACGTCGATTAGTTCGATCCTCGGCGTTTTATCTACGCGACGACGACACATCACCTTGGCCGGACGTAGCCTTAGGAACTTATTAAGTCACAGTAGCTATTTAATCTATGCTCGCCTTTGCGTTATGAGATCATCCTATAACGCACGGATGTGCAACGTTCTTCTCGCATTACGTCCAGATACGCGATAATTTCGCGATCACACGCGCTTCGTTCTCGTGTTGGAGGATTTTTTTTTTTTTTCACAAAATCATCACTCGTCGTTACGATTATTCTCGTTTTCCTTCTTTCTTTTTTCGCATATGCGCGCAAATTCATCGGATTTCTTTTCACCGTCGCGCGTGTACAAGTCAGGGGAATCTTATTTCGGGAATCGAACGACGCGGAGCGTGCTCACACTTGAATAAAATCACATGTGCTATTTCCAACGTTTCGTTTCTTTCGGTCGTTTCTTGTCGAAGTATGCTTGATAAGCGGAAGGCGTATATATGCAAATCCGACGATTGATTTATCCGCGCGAAAAATCCCCGAGATGTGCACATTGAAAGGAAAAAATATGTAAAAAATAAGAAAAACATTTATCGGCACGCGCTGATAACGATAATATGTATTTAAATCTAAATTCTTTTATTCAAGTAGAACGAATAATTGCTTTCGTGAAAAGCCGACTTAAATAGTTGTTATGTATCTTCTTATTTGACAAAAATGTTTCTCTCAGTGCAAAAATATATATCTTGATATAAGTAAATATGCCATATTAATATTCACAGACAGTGTTGCCCGTATCTAGATAAAATTATCTAAATCATCCAAATGAATAAATATATCATCTTTATCTAGATGGAAGAAATACAAAATATATTCATCGTTATCTTAGACGAAAAATATGTTATCTCATCTAAAAATTATCTGAAATAATATTATAGTTCATATTCTGAACTCATTTTTCGATAAAATAAATGAAATAATATTAATCTATGCGTCAAGCCCGTATCAGACTAGGGACCGAAGGTTAGATTTCCACGAATGAACAAATTTCGGTTTTGTCTCCTTTGGTCTGTTCTTTTTAACTACACTGATGAACTGGTGCAAGAAGTTAGAGTAAGATAAAATATACTTGTCTTACTCTAACTTATTGCACCAGTTCAGCAGTGCAACAAAAAAGAACAGACTATTTATTTCAATTGATCAATCCACTTTAAGCCCGTATCAAACTGTCGATTATGAATGGGCAGTCAATGATTATTGGTTTTTTTTTGTTAGGTCCTTAAATGTAGAGCGATTACATTGACCAATTTAACCGTTGTGCAATTTTATGATCTGTGTAATTTTTATTATAAGTTTTTATCAAATCTCGCATGGAAACAATATCATCTAAAAAATTATCTAAATAAGTAGCGATACTTATCTTATTATTCATCTAGATAAATCAAAATCATTTTCATCCAATCTAAGGTGAATTTTTCGGATTTTAATCTCATCTTCATCTAGATGAATCTTAAATCATCTAAGACAAACATTGTTCACGGAATATAAATATTTTTTAATTCTTAGATATTTGTCTTCTCAGTGCACTCCCAAAATCGATTACGTCAATAAATACGCTCGATCCGTTCGGTCAGATCGCCCGACGTTCGCATATATAAATAACCGTAGCCCACAAAGAAGAAACACAATTTCTTATAGCGCCATATTGGATACGCCGTTCTGACCGATTTAAAATCATCTATATCTATTTCGTTCGATCTATCGATTGAAAGATATCGGGTACGTACGTAATCTTCTAACGTCGTAAGCCTCTAATCAGTTACATTCCGATTAAGTTGATGATTAAAGGACAAGTACTTGTTTGCGCTCATCGACACGGAAACAGATTTTTCTCTCTTTCTCGATGCACCCAAGGTGAACAGCAAGTTTCATTCAAGGCAAGTGCAACGCACATCCGCGCCGTCGAGTATAAGAAATTACACGCGTTCATGCCGGCGTTTTCCTGCGAAATCGTTCAGAGAGATGCACACGTTTCAAGTATCGCGTTATCGTGCGATTAATCGCGCTTAATTATTATTATTATTATCCCACGAAGTAGATGTGTCGTGACGGATAATTTACAAGTTTCGTTGCTTCCATTTCCATTCGTAACATTCCGCGCTCGATGATCGAACCAATTGCGACCGTTGAGAAGAATAAAACATTGTTATTTCGCGGAATATTATGGGAATAGAAAAAAAGGCTGATATACTGAAAAAAAATTATATTCAAGTAAATATTTGCTAAGGAATATTGGAGTAATTATTTTATTTGGATTAAGAGAGTAAATATTATTTATTATATGTAAATATATATGTTAAATAAATAATTAAATATATATAAATAATTAAATAAATAATTAAATATATATATTTTTTATCATTTATTTAAAAAAATATATATATATATATACTTTGAATGTAGTACATTGAACGTAAAAAGTGCTATATTTCAGTGATATTTATTTAATCCGGATAAAAGAATTACTCCAATACTTCTTAGCGAATATTTATTTGAACATAATATTTTTGTTTTTGGTATGAAAATCGAACATTTAACCTTTCTTCCTTTCTTTTTCTCCCAGCTCTCTCCCGTTAATTATAAAACTATTATATTTAATTAGATTTTTTTTAATAAACATAAACGTTATCATGAATTTGTCACAAATTCTGGTGTTCCTTTTTCCAGACGGAGAGCGAATATTCTGTGGAAGAACAAACGAGATTAACAGGAACCGATGGACCAGGTGCGGATGAGGCCTCGCCGGAGGACGAGGGTGGCTCGTTGTGCGAATACCATGACATACCGCCCCCACCGGACGGTGGTTACGGTTGGGTGGTGGTATTCGCATCGTTTATGTGCAACATGATAGTGGACGGTATCGCTTATACCTTCGGTGTCTTTCTGGGAGAATTCGTTAAATACTTCGGCGAAGGAAAGGGCAAGACTGCCTGGGTCGGCTCGTTACTTTCCGGGATGTACCTCAGTGCTGGTAAGAGATATTAACTACTATACGACTGATTATTCGCAGCGAATATATTTCAGAATATACAAGATGCGATGCTATAATGCGATATAACTATCGACTTTTAATAACAATGTTCGAGAGTGATTGAATCTCGTTTATCTCTTAATCAATTTTCGAGTGCGTTTTATCTTTCAATGAAAGGAGATTGAATAGCGTCTTTTCATCGGCGAACTAGATCTACTAAGTAAGACGTGACGAGTGTTTCGGCACGTCCGATAAAATTATTGCGGGATTTTGTCCAAGTAGTTACGTCCAAGTTAAGTACATTTTCCTCGTCGTAGCCATTTTGAATAAATGACGTCAGATTGAAGAGATTGAAGAGAAACGTATGTCCAAAATTCCTGCAGAATACGTTGAAATAAAGTAATATGTCCATAAAATGATAGAGCGAAAGTATCGAAAACGACATACCATTTTATTTCGAAGCTTTAAAGTCATGTGTGTTTAAGGTGTAAAATTAAAATTTACGTGCGTGGATGCGAACCGATAATATTTCTTTACCAAAATATATGACAATCTTGTGAAAATTATATTTTATTATTACATGTTTCTATGCAAATAAAACTATTTTTTAAGATGTTTGAGGATCGATATTTCGAAAAACCAGGCCAAAACCGATGTATCTCATATCCTTTTTTTTTAACTCCAAATATGAGCTACAAGCTGTCTCAGAGGACATTCAGTAACTGTTTTACAATTCCAACTCTCCGTGGCTTGCAGTGAATGTGTCCAGTAACACATTAATTTCACTTAATTAATCATTTTCATCATTTCAATTTTAATCATTTTCAATTTAACCCTTAGCTGACACACGTCAAAATAATAACGTATGTGCTATAGGGGGTATTTTGGACCCCAGCGAGAAAAAATGTGTATAATTGTTTTATTTATCAATATTGGGTCAAGCCTCGACTAATACTAGGTGACGTCACAGAACCAAATTTGGCGCGCAGCTATGAAAAATTTGCGTTCAAAAACACTCTGGGGTACTTTTAACCCCGTGTGTCAACTAAGGGTTAATGATGGATTTACAGGTTGTCCTGAGGTAGTTTCCTTTTCAGTCTGCGAGTTTTAATTTTTTTATTCATAAGATTTTTTGCCAGCACGTTTGGATGAGCTGCCAGTATAAGTTTTTATGCTTTTATTATCTCTTCCTTGACAGTAGGGATATTCAGGTCATGATGTAAGGACGTGTTTGTTATATACCAGGAAGCATTAGTAATTTTCCTGAGCATCTTGGCTTGAAATCGCTGGATTATCTCAATATTTGAGTGGGAGGCAACGCCCCAAGGTTGGATCGCTTATTCCATCGAAGGTGGAACCATTGAAGTAGATTTTCTTCAGCGATGTGGAATTTTTTTCACGCGTTAATTCCGCATTATGCATAATTCTGCCTATGTTCTGCCTATATTAGGTCCAGTTGTGAGCGCTTTGACGAACAAATATGGCTGCAGGGCCGTGTGTATGGCGGGAAGTTTCCTGGGTGCCGCTGCATTTGTACTTTCGACGTTTTCGAGCAGTGTAAATATGCTTATGGTGACTTACGGCATTATGGGAGGTACGTGAATACTGGCGATACCCGATGATATTTGATTTTGCGGCTCGCAAATTCTTCGTAAAGTCTCTCTCTTTGGGCATTTCTTTCAGGTGTTGGATTCGGTCTGATATATCTACCCGCGGTAGTTTGCGTAGGCTATTACTTCGAGACTAAGAGGTCCTTAGCTACCGGTATCGCTGTATGTGGATCCGGATTCGGGACGTTCGCGTTCGCACCTCTCGCTACTATGTTGCTGGAAGCGTACAGTTGGAAGGGGGCGAACTTAATCCTGGCTGGCCTTATATTGAATTGTGCAGTAAGTAAACTGCGAAGTCTCTTTCTTTCTTTCTCTCTCTCGCTACTTGTCGCCTCGACCGCACGAGGGGTGACGTTTCAAGATCGATCGAGATGGCACTGTATACTTGATAATTGTAACAGACGACGTTTAGGTGTTCGGTGCAATGATGAGGCCATTGGAATACCCAAAAGCTTCGTCCGTTAAACCGTTGTTGCAACGGATGGCCGAGGAGAAGAGATTCCAGATGGAACGGGGTAGTATCGGCGGTTCATATTTTATGGTACAACTGCCTGACGGTTCCATGGAAAAAAGGATGAAAATGCCCATCAATATAGATCCCGGTGTTCACTCCAGTTTCAACCTGGACCAATTAGTGCCTGGTAAGGGGCTGCCGTCGGCGAGAAGTATTCGTTTTGAGCGCGTTCGTGCGATCGCGAGAGTAACTTGAGTTCTCGACACAGACAGTGTTTGCCTATATCTAGATAAAATTATCTAAACCATCATCCAGATGAATAAACAGATCATCTTTAATCTTTATTTAGATGGAAGAAATACAAAAAATATTCTTCTTTATCTTAGATAAAAAACATCTCTCATCTAAAATTATCTGAAATGATATATGGTCCATATTCTGAACTCACTTTTGAATAAAATAAATGAAATAATATGGACTTATGCGTTAAGCCCGTATCAGACCAGAGATTGAAAAGTAAATTTCAACGAATCAACAAATTTCGGTTTTGTCTCCTTTTGTCTCCTTCGATCTGTTCTTTTTACCTGCACTACTGAACTGGTGCAATAAGTTAGAGCGAAACGAAATATACGTGTCTCACTGAAACTTATTGCACCAGTTCAGCAGTACAACTATAAAGAACAGACCATTTGTTTCAATTGATCGATCCATTTTAAGCTTGTCGACTGTGAGTGAGCAGTCAATGATTATTGGTCTTTTTTTGTTAGATCCTTAAATTTAAAGCGATTACATTAATGAATTATTTAACCGTTGTACAATTTTATGATTTGCGTAATTTTTGTTATAAATTTTTATAAAATTTCTCATGGAAACAATATCATCTAATAATTATCTAGATAAGTAGCACTGCTAATCTTATCTTCCATCTAGATAAATCAAAAGCAAAATCATCTCATCTAAGACGAAGAATTTTTTGAATTTTCATCCCATCTTCATCTAGATGAATCTGAAGTCTAAGGCAAACACTGCATACAGAAAAATGAAATCCTTAACAATGTTTTGTTCTCATAAGTCCTACGATCTGAAGAGAACAGGACTTACGTCACTGTCACGAATCACGAATGCGTGCGGACTCTTGAAGTATCAAAGGTGGTAAGGTGTGCCTCATTGAATGACCCGTAATATTAAAGGAACTCCTTTAACACCAGTTCCAACGGTGCCAACCCTCCCCACTATATCCGAAGTGAAGGTACAAGAGCACTCCTCCAGTGGGGCGACCAGCGATAGTGGCAGTATGGACTTGAAGAGCATCACCAACAAATCCCGAAGCAAGAAGAATATCGACGAAACCAAAGACACGAAAGATACGACGGAGAAGCCCGAGAACGAGTTTAATAAAACTGTACTCCCCAGGAACGCGTCGCAGCCCGCTTTTACGACCCACGTTCAGGGTCTGCCTAAAAACGGCTCCGTACCGTTCTTCGATAGAATCCGCAAGACTAGTACCGGCGAGCGCTACAAGCCCAGCCTCAGTGCGATAAAGAACTCGAGAACGACGCTCAATTCCAACGGGGACATTCGCAAGAGCTTGCATCTGAGACTCTCCACGAGCAGCGTGCTCGGCTCGCGCAACAATAACGCTGAGGTCGACGTGAGTGTGCCGTTATTCATTGACTTCAGGGACCCGGGTCGAGTGAAAATATCGGTTCCGGTCCATTGAACTGTTTAATAAAGGTTCCGATTTCGGTTTCGGTTCTGTAGACTTTATAAAATTTCGATCCGGTCCGACAAAAATACCAATTTCCATACAGTTTTCGGTTCCGGTCCGGATCCCTGATTGATTCGGACATTCGCCTTGTGCGAGACAATTCAGTTTACTTCAGAATTTGAACCGTCGTCTCGCGTTTCAGGATGGCGAGAGTATTACTTTTACTACCAGTAAAACTAGCATCCCAAAGGAAAAGCCAATGATGGTCCGTCCCTTGTCGAGAAAGGACATTTTCTACAGCGGTAGCGTAGTGAATTTACCAGAATACCAAAGCCAGAAGTCTCTCGCCAATTATCGTCAGAGTGTGATCTCGCTGCCGAAGTCGGTGCGCGGCGACATGAAAGATGTCGACGTCGAGAAAGCGCCGCAACGTGAGTACATGTCATTGTTCCGTTGCGATTCCGTTTGATCCAAACGGTAAAATGCGGGTAAAATGCGAGTATATCGAAAAAATAAAAAAGTGATACGAATTTCTATCTTCTTTAGAACCTCTCTGTCCATGCTTGGTGTTGCCAGACTCGTTTAAGGAAGCTTTGGCGACGATGATGGACATGTCGCTACTGAAGGATCCGGTTTTCCTCCTGATCGGCATCAGCAACGTGTTTGGAATGGCCGGGTTGTATGTTCCTTTTGTATATTTGGTGGATGCTGCAAAATTAGATGTAAGTACCTCCGAACTCTTCGACGGTGCGTTTCTTTTTTGCCGCTAAGCTTGGCGTATTGAGTCTAAGACCCAGAAACTTTTCTGACATACTCTTGCTTAAATATCTGAAAATGTACTTGTTCAGTGTACAGATATTATAATTTTGAATGTATCAAAAGCATATTTAAAAAATTTGTTACAATTCTTATTTTTAAAATGGATGATTTAAGGTATGAGAGGACAATATATTGATTTTACATAGAAAAGAAAAATTCTACGTACTTTGAGGAATTTCGAGCATTTAACCTAAAAGAAGATAAACTTATTATATATATATAAAATACAGAAGCTTATTACTTATTATATATATAAAACTTATAAAACTTATTATATATATATAAAATACATGAAATTAACAATGCATAACAGAAATTGCAATCATCTTCATCATGTCATTTCCGAGATATTTAACTATGAACTTGTATAGTGCATGCATAGAAATGCAACAAATTTTTTCTAATTTGACAAATTTGTATATAATCTAGAAATTCAATTCACTTGTAATAATAAAATGAGCATATCTCAGTAAACATATCTTATTAAAATATCACATAAATTTACCATCAGGTACCACTGAAGAAAAATTTATATCTTTCGATAAGAATATCTATGAAATCGACAATATACGAGGAGAACGTATTAACATCCTATATATAAAAAGTTAGCGCCAGATCGGAAATAACCTCGTAATATCATTTCTATATTTATTATTAATTTTACATAGCATCTATATATTTTCGATTTAAATTAAATTAGAGCACGAGCGTGACATAGCAGACAGCGCGCACTGGTCTGCTATGCTAGAGGTCCCGGACTCGTCTCCCGGTAGAACCAAAATATTTTCATACGCTCGTGTCTCCTCTCTGGTACACCGGCAAACCACCGAGAATATCTTTGCGACGAAAACCTCATTCAAACTGCCGTTCGGAATCGGCGTTAAACTTTAGGTAGGTAGGTCCTATATACTTGTGTTTAATCTGCGTGCGCACCACAAGTATATGCAAGAAAGAGGTTGGATTGGGCAACGGCGAAGGATGTGTATATATGTATATATATAGACACACACACATACACAGGGTGTCGCACTAATCTCGAATTCCGTGGTGTGCAAATAGAACGGGTAAAACTGAGCAGAAAAATCCCATTTTGCAAATAACCCGCAAAATTTCGAGTTATTAATGGTTGAAAATGGCCATATATAGAAACTTCTTTAATTAATAATTCAATAATTTGCCTGCTTTGCAAAATGGTGAGAGACTTTTTTCTTCCGAATAGTCTAATCTACAAGCATATGATAACTATTATACCTAACGACAAATTCAAAATTCAAAGGTCAAAGTTCAATATACTGATGTCTGTCGTTAGGTACAACAATGTCACATATTTATAGATTAGGTCCCTTTTAGCAAAAAAGTTCTATAACATTTTGCAAATAACACGCAAATTTTTGAGTTATTAATTAAAGAAACCTCTGTAAATTACCATTTTCAATCATTGATTACTCGAAATTTTGCCTGTTATTTGCAAAATAGTATAGAACTTTTCTGTTCAATTTCACCCGTTCTACTTGCACACCACGGGTGTAAGTATATGTGTGTGTGTGTATATATATATATATACAGGGTGGACCATTTTAATCCATCCAGTCGAATATTTCGAAAACCAAGCCCGGGAGAGAAAAATTTTTCAGACAAAAGTTGTTTGGTTTCGAGGGGACCATAAGACGGTACCATTGGTTTGACCTTGAAGAATTATTTGAAAGTCACATGAAGGTCACCTCAATTTCTTTTAATGGCATCCTCTATTTTTTATTACATATTCTTGTAGCTGACCTCGAGAGCTTTCCAAAACACTGGAATGAAATGTTTCTTCCTTCAGTACTTTTCGAGTTATAAAGCTCCAAAGTTGCAATAGGAATTAATAGGAATTAATAGTCCGTAGATACAATTGGATATTTAGGTATCAATTGATTACGGAAATCTCTTCCACTGTTGATCGGAGTATCAAACTTTATTACTCACAATCAGAGGCTTACGTCTGCTAGCAATACCCATGGCTGATTATCGTCCCTCAGAGATTGTTGATATTCCCCTTGTTCTCGGAGAATGTGAACTAAATTATCATGAAGCTTCGCGAGTTTACCGGAATCGTTACCGCGAAAGAGAACAACATCCGAATCATACTACAATCCGGGACCTCGAACTAAGAGCTCGCCAAGGCCGTTTAGGACGTCAAAGAGCACATCATGCATTTTCAAATTGCAACTTTGGAGCTTTATAACTCGAAAAGTACTCAATGAAGAAACATTTCATTATAGTGTTTTGGAAAGCTCTCCAGGTCAGCTACAAGAATATGTAATAAAAAATAGAGGATGCCATTAAAAAAAATTGAGGTGACCTTTATGTGACTTTCAAATAATTCTTCAAGGTCAAACCAATGGTACCGTCTTATGGTCCCCTCGAAACCAAACAACTTTTGTCTGAAAAATTTTTCTCTCCCGGGCTTGGTTTTCGAAATATTCGACTGGATGGATTAAAATGGTCCATCCTGTATATATACCTATATATATAAAATTAGTCACATAATAAATATTATAATACATTTTATATTCATATTTCTTTTCTTACTATTGGTATTTGGGACATTCTTTTAGAAACCGTAGAGATTTGGTCGAAAATTGACCGACACATTTTTAATTTAGCTAAAACTTTTTTTACGTGTTCTATATGACAAAAAGAGATATACCTATTCGAGGATTTTTTTTTCATTTTTTTGGAAAATAGAAAGGATGTAAAATTTGAGAATTTGGTAATTTTTGGCTTGAAGTATATTATTTAAAAATTCATAACTCTGGTTCTATTTGAACTACAGATATCATTTTTTTTTTGAAGGTAAAAGAACGAGCTTTAATAAAAAAGTACTTGAGAAAAAAATTATTAACAAATTCAAATTTTTATAAACAATTAAAATGTTTAAATCGATTTTTAACAATTGCCCCACCCTCGTATCAAGTTTTTAATATTTCTATCGTGTTCTACGTCAAATTTCCTTTCGAAAACGCTTTTTTAATCGATGGACAAATAATTATTACTATAAGAAAAAAATTAATTAATCTAGCGCGGTTCGTCACATCGGCGCGCGGGTCACACCGCACGGCCCATTTTCTTGTCTCATGTCGTTTTTCTCTGAAATATTAATGATTATTCCATCTTTTTTAATAAATAATCTTATTTGTTAGCCAAGAAGACTTTATAAAAATTTGAGGAAATAAATAAAAAACATTATTCTAGCGTTCTCTCATGGTTGAAGGTACACTGAAAAAAGATTCGAGCGGTAGTGGTGCCTTGCACGTTTGTAAAGCAATAGAAAGTCAAAATTGAAGAAGCGGGGACTCGATATCGAGGAGTGGGGACTTCAATAGTAGAAGGAACCCGAGCAGAAATCTAACTAGGCTGTAATGAGGTCCCAACTAGACAGTTATTGTGGCCTAGTTGGGGCCGAATCGCAGCTTATTTCTTATATATATCCGGTATATCTTTTTTAGTCATATAGAACATGTAAAAAAAATTTTAGCTAAATCAAAAATGTATCGGTCAGAAAGGTGTTCGGTTTGTAAAAGAATGTCCCATTTACATCAAGTGGGGGTTTTACAACTTTTATCATTTTCTAAATATATTTTTTAGAATAAAAAATTATATATCATGATATTTTTTTACGAATTTCACCTCACAGATATTGTTGCGAAGTTATTTTATAATTTTTTTGAACAATTTTACTAACAAAATACTCATTAATCAAAAAATAATGCTTGAATCGCTTTAAGAAATGAATTCCATGTTTATATATGCGTTCATGGTTCAAGATTCAACAGCTATACGGTCTTAATTTTCCGCTTGAGTCAATTCGATCCATGAATGCCAAACTAGGGTTAATGTTTCCGCTAACGAATAATCACGCGTCGTATATGCTAAAAAATACCGTTTTGCGCTTTAAGGGGATCGAAAGCAATTCTGCGTCTTTCTTACTGTCAATCATCGGAATAACCAACACGATTGGTCGTGTGGCTTGTGGATACGTCGCTGACTTTCCGCAAGTGGATTCCTTGTTGTTGAATAATATCTGCTTGATTATATCCACGATCGCGGTAGCCGCCACGCCGTTTTGCCATAGTTACGCTGCTTACATCGTCATGAGCATTTTCTTCGGAATAGCAATATGTAAGTAAGAACTGGTCTTTCAACATTCAGAGCTATTCACTCGACCAGAGAAAGACTCCGTCTCTCTCATCTGCCAATGATCGTCGGATACGTTAATATCTTTCCGATTTTGATAATTCCAGCTGGGTACATCTCGTTGACATCGATTATCCTGGTGGACCTCCTGGGACTGGACAAATTGACGAACGCTTTCGGCCTGTTAATCTTATTCAGAGGGGCCGCCGCAATAGTCGGTTCGCCGTTGGCGGGTGCTGTTTACGACGCTACGCAAAGCTACAGTATCCCGTTCTTCATGGCAGGCTTCTTCTTTTTCGTCAGCACTGTCACCAGTTTCATGGCCCCTTTTATGAAACGGTGCACTACACCGGAGGTACGTCATGTATGGCTCGAAAAATATTATTCGTGTGATGTGTAAGAAAATCTTCCATTTTGCGAAAGGGTGCACTTCATCGCCTTCTTTCCTTAGGATTTAGAATAGTTGACTTGTAAGTTTAACCGTTTAGCGCCACGCAGCGCGATCACGTCGATCGGCATTACTCGCAGATAAATGAACGAAGCGCTATCGCGCTGCATGGCATAATCCGACACGAATTTTTAAAAACCCCTGGCACTAAAACGGTTAAGACGATGTCTTATACCCTAAATCTTTGTCTAAATTATTTTCTTTTACTATCTTATTATACAGTAGTTGGTCATCAGTTACAAGCGAAACGGCTTTTTAGTTCAAGATTCCAAACGCAAGACGGGTCATTGTGCGTTATTTAAGACAAAGACTTCAGGCATAAAACATTGTCTTGAACCGATAAATCAGCTATTTTGCTAAGGTTTTTTTTTTTCTGTCAATATATAGCTCCAACTACCTTTGCATAACGTCATTTCATGCTAGTTTGTAAATTATAATAATTAGGTTAAAATATAGTTAAAAGTAGTTAAAATAAGTGTAGCGAGTCTTTAGCCTTTCTCTCTAAGTAATAAAATCGTAACGTAATTTCTAGCAGAAAGCGTTTCCAATGCTATGAGACTTCGCAATTTCTAAAATTTAAGTGTTATTACAACTGTTGGCAGAGCGAGAAATGTCTTTTATCAAAAATTAATCCTGGTTTACAATAAGTGCTTTAAGCTCTAAGCCTTAAGAAATTGACCAATCACAGATTTTTTGTTGAGCAGGACTTAAGTGGGATCTACAATGAGAATTTAAGCTCTAAGACTTAAAAAATTTACCAAGCACAATTGATTATTCTTCTATAATTCGATTGTGATTGCTCAATTTCTTAAAGTTTAAAGCATCTATTGTAGACTAGGACTAATTGATCAGTTTGCTTGCGGCTTACGTCTTAAGACAAGGTTTGTAGACAAGGGCTTGGCTCCGGTCTACAATAACGGTCTACAATAACGTTTTAAATCTTAAGACTTAAGAAATTGACCAATCACAATAGATTATTCTTCTTACATTCGACTGTGATTGGTAAGTTTCTTACAGCTTAACCCTTAGAAGCACGGTGGAAAGTACACTTCCCACCTTTATTCTTTCAGATTTTTGTCGATAAAATTTTCATTACTATATTTAGACTGTTTTTTTTTCTTTTTAATATTTTCCTAGTATCTTAGGGATAATGAATGTAAAAAAATGGTCAGAAAAGGTTTCGGATCGCTGATTATGAATCTGAGGTGGAAATTGAAAAATTACAAAATTCGAGATGTTGAATACAAAATAGTGGACACGCAAAAACTCAGTACCGATGGCTTTCAAAGCTTCCCAGTACAAATTATGAAATGCGATATTGCGAAAACGAATTAGAGGGATTGAAACGATATATATAATATATATTAATATATATATATATAATCTACAGCATAGAAGAAATCTTGCTTATATTGAATTTATAAAATTCATATATTATTCATGAATACCAAATTTGAAGTGATTTGGTAGATTCGTTGCAATTTTGATCCTCCATTTTGGATTCGCCATCTTAGATTAAAAAATTTTTCAAATTTGACCTCAGATTCATGATCATCGACCCGAAAACCCCCCGGGTATCAAATTTGATGAAAAATAAGCGGAGGAAGAGTGTAGGCTTCAAAGGATTGATATTGATTGAAAATTGATATTTAATTCATCAGAAAATCCGTGATTTGGCTCTTGAAATGCCCGTTATTTTTTCTTTCTCTTGTTTATTTAATCGCACCCAATATTCCCCGATTCTCGCAATAAATTGACGCCATATTCATCGTTGCAGACTCAACCTGTGATATTAGATACATTGACTCCGATTGACGAGGATATCGAGGAGGAGAACGAGGACGATATTCCCGAGATAGTAGAAACCGCACCGTCACCGTTGGAACCACCCGAGAAGGAAATCAAGCAAATAGAGTCTGTTTTATAAGTATAACTTCTGATCTTTTTTAAAAACGGACAAGAAAAATCGCCTTCACTCCGAGCCACACTGTGATAGGGCTGCTACTTTTGAGGTCTCTCGAGGACAAAAATGTACTTCTTTGTTACACGCTTAATCGATAAAAAAAAGCACAAATTAGCGACACACATATCTGATGGGATTTCCGACTTTTCGTACTTACAATTAAGTTCTCGTGCGTGTCAGACAACGCGTCTTCTTAATTTTTCCCCTTTTTATCGAACTGACGAACGACACACTCGCATACACACATACACCATACATACGAAAATGCCATCAGGTACGGATACACTTAGTTGCCTACATGTAATAGCGAATGATAGATAGCGCGTTCTAATTAACCTAATCAGTATCGAGATCGAACAGTATAAAGGAGGGGAAAAATGATGAAAAAAAGAAAAAAGAATTGCTCTTGCACGTGCATATCGAGTAATCTTGAGAGTAAATTATTGATCCGCATCATGTAGGAATACGATACGATAATTTGGAGCAAGGATTGGTCAATGTTGTCGCACTTCAATCGTGATATGTTCAACGACGTTGTGCGTTTAATAACTTATCAATCGTTAATCCCTTCAACGCGCGCGTATGTTCTTTTTTTTCCTTACTTATTTCGCGGAGGCGAGTCGCACAAAGCGAAACAACGACGATCTTTCTCTCTCTCAGTCCGATCAACATGAACGGTACGACATTGACCATTCTTGATCGATCTAGATGACCCACCTATGCGACACGTGTTAGTTAAATCTATTTTTGGCCACATCCAAAGATACAAACTTGAATTATTCACTGATTCAGAGAGATATTTTCTTGCATACTTGCGATAAGTGTATATACATAGGCGAGCGAAAATAAGAGAGAGAAAGAGAGAGAGAGAGAGAGAGAGAGAGAGAGAGAGAGAGAGAGAATGAGCGAGAGAAAGGGAATCATATACGAATTATTGATTCACGCGCAACTTGTGTATATCGCCGTTGCAGAAAGAATTGTACATAATTTATAGAGAATTATATATGGAGCGATAATAACGAAACACTCTAGAATCTAAGAATATGAGAGCGGAGTTACGAGTTTTCCGCCGGCGTTGACCTTTAAATGCGGGCCCGGCGACTAATGTATTTGTTAAGGGACAATTAAGTTAACGCATTGTTAGATAGATTAATTAATATATTGATTATACCAAGTGCAAAGAATATACCTATTTGATTAATATATATATGTGTGTGTGTGTGTGTGTGTGTGTGTGTGTGTGTGTGTGTGTGTGTGTGTGTGTGTGTGTGTGTGTGTGTGTGTGTGTGTGTGTGTGTAAAAGCATCTCGTCTGCTACAGTTAGTTTACTGGAATCGATTAGCAGTGGTTTAGTCGGTTGAAGTTGAAGTCGTCCGAGCAAGACGATACTGAAAAGATAGGAAGAACAACGCGAGATCAACTGGAACTATCGCGTCCAGTTGAGCGGTCGTAGCGGCGTTTAAGTCATGCGCGAGTATACACGTGTAAGGGACTAATTTTATTTAGTACGACACGACGGGGATCATTATCGGATCAATATCTGTAGTTAGCGTTTGCGAATATATATGCCTACAAATGTATACACGTATACACACACACACACGCTACTACACACATACTCATACGTGCGTGTGTGTGAGAAACACGTGTGACATATACGTGTCATACGCAATACAACTTACGTGAAACTCCGTATACACTTATATAGACCGAAAGGAAAAGCTTGTGATGAATCTTTCGTCGATCCGCGCGTTTATTACACCGCGTACATATTTTGTGTGTGTGTGTGTGTGTGTGTGTGTGTGTGTGTGTGTGTGT